CTAGGGCTACCTTTCACCTCACATGAAGTGGACCGGGACAAGGGGAGACACGTCCATGCTGAGGGTCTGGGGCTGCATGATAAAATACAGGCCATCCTCTGCGACAATCGGAAAATTCATCGACCGCGCATGCTGGGGAATTCACCTGGGGATCAACCATGAGTACAAGGGCCGGCAGATCCTGGACATCAACACCAACAGGATCGTACCTGCACGAAACATCATCTTCTACGAGTATCTCACCCTTGCCAATTGGCTGGCAGACCAACGAGCAGGAGAGAAACGCGCCTACGCCACTAGCGGGATAAGCTTCGCCTCTCCAGAAGACGAGGCACCAGCAGCAGCTCTCGACCGCGACCTTGCTGACGAGCATCCCAGCGTACCTCCTCGTCTGTGCAATGACGGCAATGACGACGACGACGATCACACGCCTGGACCTTCTCGTCACCACGATCCCGCACCAAGCTCCTCACCTGGACATGAGAGCGGCAATGATGATGTGGCTGAGGTAGCCACTCAAGAAGAACATGACGCAGGGAACATCACAGGACTACAACTACTCGGCCTACACACCGCCACATCCTCCGCCCCATGCATCGTCGAGCCTAAGAACCCGCGGCAGGCCCTGACAGGCCCCCACGCCAAGGAGTGGCAGGCAGCCATGATTGCTGAGCTGAAGGCGCTGGATTCACGCGATACCCGGGTCCTAGTCGACTGTGCAGCAGTGAAGGGGAGGAGAGTGCTATTTGGAAAATGGATATTTCGCTTGAAAATTGCCGCCAACGGAATTATTGAGCGCTTCAAGGCAAGGTGGGTCATACGTGGGTACGACCAGTGCCACGGGATTGACTTCAACCAGACGTTCGCCTTCGTAAGCCATCACACTTCTGTGTAAATTCTACTCGCCATCGCCGCCGCTAAGCACCTACCATTGCGGCAGATCGATGTGAAGAACGCGTTCTTGTACGCGTTGGTCGACGCGACCATCTTCGAGGAGCAGCCGCATACCTACGGAGAAGGAGATCCAAGGGTCTGCCCTCTACGGGATAAAACAGACGCCTCGACCCTGGCAGCAGCACCTGCATAAGATACTTCTTGAAATCGGTTTCAAGCAGCTTCCGTATGATCCATGAATGTACCACCTTCACTTCAACGGCGACTACATTCTACTGACAGTCTACGTTGACGACCTGCTGTACACAGGGACCAGCAACACGCTCCTCAACCAGTTCGAGCAGAACCTAGCGCAGCGCGTTGACATCACCATCAACCACAAGGTCACGCAGTTTTTGGGGCTGAACATCACTTACGCGCCAGATGCAATTCACCTGTCAGCCTCTAAGTATGCGGAGCAGCTGGGCGAGCACTTCAAAATTCCACCCGCACCACTCTCAACTCCGTATCGCACGCCCAGCACCAACTACAAACCAGACAACAAACCTCTTTCGCCCGTAGGACTCCAAACCTACCAGCAGCAACTGGGGTGCATGCTGTTCGCCTCTGTCACCCTAAACCCTGACCTTTCATACATTGCAAGCCAGCTGGCACAATATTCACGAAATCCAGTGGCAGAAAATCTGCTGGTCCTGGAGCGCGCCCTTCAGTACTTTGTTTCCACACTGACATCGGGCTCTCCTACTCCACGCTGACAACGCCATCCTTCAACCTCACCGGATACGTGGACGCAGATCACGCCGCTGACCCTGCCAATCGACGGTCACGAACCGGCTTCGTCTTCCGCCTCGAACCAACGGGCCCAATCTCCTGGTCCCATAAGCAGGAGTTGGCTGCCCTGTCATCAGCCGAAGCAGAGTACATCGCCGCAACTGCCGCAGTTCGCAAGGGTCTTTATCTACAAGAACTGCTGCACAAGGCGAAAATCCCAACTTCGCCCACCTTTCGCCTTCACTCCGATACCCAGAGCGCGATCAGGATCGCGAACAAGCTGGGCTTCATCAACTGAACAAACACATCGCACTTCGATACTTGTTCGTGAAGGACGAAACCGATCAGGGCAAGTTTGACCTGACATACTGCCACGTCAGCAGTACCAGCACTGCTCCAACCTTACCGGAGTAGTCAATCAAGTCAGTCCTCGACACGTCCAGGAATAAAGGGGGGTGTTGAGATATGAACCTTTATGAAAAGGCATTCCTATACGCTGCAGGAGCAGACTCTACCAAGTACAAAGTCGAGGAGTTAGAAGAGTCGAAGTGACATCGGCAACAGTTAGATCGAAACCGATGCAGGCAGAAACGTTCGAAGTGAAATTGGCGAGAACAGGTTTGAAACGGGTTCCCGCGCCGCATGGTTTGAAATCGGTGTAATAAGGGAATGTACCCCTTAGAGTACATGGCTAGTTAGGACGTTTCGTTTTCCCTTGTATTTCCTATATAACTCGATGTATGCAATGCTATCGTCATCGCCCGGTTAGTAGACATATATGACTTATCTTATACATTAGAAAAAAAACTTGTTGTGTCTTGTATTTGGGACGGTTTTGGGTGTCTTATAATTCTTATAAATAGACATAAATTATATGAACTTTGTAACATTGACAAAGTGTGTAGAAACCACCCAGGGGGTGGATTCATTGAATCCGGCCGCACAATTCCGATGATGCATGCGTCGCCACCACGTGCCACATGATGGGACGCAACAATGCTGCTTGTGTTGGCAGAATCCCGCCCTGCTGACAGCATCTCATGATGCTGCCAGTGTCGTTTTGCTGCCAGCAGCGACCAAAGGCTTCTAGAACGCTGCCAGCAGCACGATGCCAGCATGCTGCCATCGTGAGCTGTCCTCTACGAGGACATTTCTCGTAGAGGAGCGGCTCATCTTCCACAGGAGAGGGCATTCTGGGACGGGGGGTAGTCGGGTTTGAGCTTCATTTTGAGCTCATGGAACTCAAAACTTGCTCAACGTTAGCTCTAAGCAGGCTCTATCATGCATAGTAAGCACCCTGCAAGTGCACCGTCTCCTCTCCCTAACCTCCATGTTACCAATTATGGGCGCATCAACTCGCCCGGTGACGATATCCGTGTAGACATGGCGAAAGAGAAGCGCCTGCCGGCGGGATGCTCTAACGCTGGCTCAGGAGCGAGTTGTGACGAGGACGAAGGCGACGAAGACCATGGCGACGAAGAACATGGTGATGAGGGTGAGGATGATTGGCCTGAGAACGGCCACCACGACAGCGAATCGGGTGACAAGGTGCCTGCAGGTGGCATCGACGATGACGAATGGTGGAAGCGGCCGATCGGCTCCGACGACGATGTGGAAGAGTGGCGCGCCGGTGACAATGACAATGACAGAGGCGCGGATGCGGTTGCTTATGCGGCGGCGGATGCGGACGGACAAGCGGATGTGGATGTGGATGCTAAGGCAGATGACGAAGCGGGAGCGGATGCACTTACAGAGGCGGATGCCGAAGCAGGAGCGGATACGGCTGCGGATGCGGAGGCGGAAGTGGGTGCGGGCCGGGATGCGGTCTTCTTTGAAGGCGAGGACGACTCGGATGACCCATGGCGCGTCTCCGACGATGACGACGTTCCTCTGTTGAGGAGGAAGCTGCGTCATCGCCTACGAGTCCCCCGAAAACAAGCACGGGTGGTGCTCTCGGATGATGACAGCCCCGCGGAGGAGCAGCGACCCCGCCTCAGTGCTGCTGACAAGGGGAAGGGTCCGGTCGTGGAGGTTCCTGCTAAGACCGCACGTTGCGTCCATCAAAGTAAGAAGAAGCGGAAGGACGATGGCGACCCTGGCTCCAGCAAAGGCGTGAAGAAGCAGAAGAAGGCCAGCAAGAGCAAAGACGACATCGTGGTCAACGAGGCGCTAGGCAGCGACGACGACTACGCGGAGGCTGAAAGCCCCATGCCTTCATTCCCTGAGAAGTCTAAGCCAAAAGATCCCACCATCCGTAATGCTAACTCCCGCCCCCCTTCCCCACGCAGTCGCGGGATTAAAAGGTCCAGGTGATCGTGGTCCGTGCGCGAAAAGGTGAAGTGGGCGCGTCGCTATGCGGAGCTCGGCTCCCTCAAGAAGACCTCGTCCGAGTCTTCGGCCTCAATCGCGTGCATCCGACGCTGGAGCGCGCAGGCTGCAGCCGGCATATACAAGGGCGCGGCGAATTCGCGCAAGCGCATGCACGGGGCGGGCCGCCACTCACACCACCCCGACATGGAGGCGGCGTTGTACCGCTACATCTGCCTGCATCGCGCGAATGGGGTGGCGATCTCGGCCAAAGACACTCAGAAGTGGAGCCGCGAGTGGATGAAGAAAAACCACCCCGGGAATAACTGGAACGCGAGCTCATACTGGAGCCAACGTTTCCGCGACCGCTGGAACCTCGTCATGCTAGTGAAGACTAAGGTTGGCCAGCGGTTGTCGGCTGGTGAGTGGTTCTAGAGATGAATTCGCTGTGGATTGTCCTCTCCCTGTGCATATCCCTATAAAGACGTGCACATCCCCACTCATCCCCTCTTTGTGTGTGCTTTTTTGCCTTGGCAGAGTGCGCAAAAGCCTGCGAGTCTTTTTGGAAGTTTGTGAGAATCAACAGAGCGCGGCACAACATAGACCTGGGCCGCATCATCAACGCGGACCAGACGCCACTCTTCGTTGAGATGCCGGCCGAGAGGACCCTTGACCACCGTGGCGCGCGCTCAGTCCCGATCCGCACGGCACGCTACGAGAAGACGCGACTGACAGTGATGCTCGCGTGCACAGCATCCGGGGAGAAGTTGCGCCCGTGGGTGTGGTTCAAGATGAAGAACGTGTCGAAATGTGACATTCCAGCAGGTGAGCAACACGAATTCGGGTTGAATATACTATATAGTTGGCCCTGCTTGGCTGACGCCTCTATCTCCCCTCTGTGCCTAGCAGGAGTGGTGGTCCAAGCACAGGACAACGGGTGGATGGACGAGACCGCTGTGCAGACCTGGCTGACAAAGGAGGTGCTGCCCCATCTCAACCCCCAGCGCGGCCAGAACGCAAGGCGTACGATGCTGGTGCTGGACTCGTACCGCGGCCACATCACACAGGGCATGCTTCGAGCCTATCGCATGCACGGCATCACCCCCCGCTGTAATCCCTGCAGGTTGCACCAGCCAAATTCAACCCCTTGACGTCTCCATCAACCGGTGCTTCAAGGCCGTGGTGCGAGCTCGCTACGCCAGGTGGTTCATGCGCGAAGGCCTTTACCCGAAGACGAAACACGGTGAGTGCGCGGTCGTTGATCACTAAATCCACCCCCACCACCTCTTGATGTACGGTATCTAACGACACGCTGCCCCTGCCTGTGACCCACCCGTAGGGAACCTGAGGAGACCTCCGCATCCTGTGGTGCTGCAATGGATTGCGGAGGCGTGGGATCAAGTCCCCATGCAGGTCATCATTGACACGTTCCGCCACTGCGGGATCCCAAGCAAGTTGGATGGGACCGAGAACCATCTGGTGATGTCCCACCTGCGCGTGAGGAGCACCACCGATGTCACTAAAGACATGTGCCTCGGGAGGACCACGGGCGACAACACGCGCCTGCTTGGGAAGGCTCCCGAGGAGGAGGAGGAGGAGGAGGAGGAGGAGGAGGAGGAGGAGCAGCTGCAGGCGGAGGGCGTCAGGGAGGTGGGTGTGGCAACAGGGCTGGATGTGCTGTACCAGGAGACCCCCAACTACCGGGGAGCGGCGGCCGAGGCTGACCGCATGATCAAGCCCAAGCAGACGGCCAGGCACGCCTGGCGAGTGCCAGACTTGGGGATGCTAGAGCCTGCATCTGCTAGTGCAGATGAGGAGGGCGTTACCAAGGGGGGCTAGGAAGAAGTAGGATTGGATAAGTGCATGTATATACCCCCCCCTGAATGCAAGAAGAACCATTTTAAAGACACCCTCCCTTTCTAAGAAAACCCTTGAACCCTAGTATTGTTTAGAAGACACCGTCTTAAGTCGTACACGCATGTAGGTGGCTTATAATAAGAAGCACCCAACTATAAGATACACCCGTTTTAAAGACACCCCATGTCTTCAATTCGACACTCTCTTCTATCCGGCGATGACGGTATTATCATCTCAACCATTTGTTGGGCTGAGAATTAGCCCTTAGGATCTTTTCAAGGCTAAGATATGTTGAAGTAGGAATGTTGTATTTGCGGAAGCGTAATAATAGAGTTTAATTGAACCACCTTGCACTGGTATGTGAGAACAAGATAAGTTTATAATAGCAGAGAGATACAAAGCTTTTATACGATTACAAAGGAATGTGAAAGGTTTTACTTTAACTGTTTCTGCTGTTGCGGTTCGATACAGTGACAACTCGGGTAACTGCTCAATATCGAGTCAGTTATGTGTCCTTGCTGTCGCACTATACTTTTCGTCGAGTCAAAGGTCAGCGACCTTTGACCTTCGCGTAACCTCCAGCGGTTGCTTTTGTTGACTCGTGTGTTGCTTCGTTGTAGTCTGCTCCGTTTCGTGTCGATACTTCGATACTTCGGAAGCGTTTAAGTTACTTGATTCCAACACTCCCCTTCGCTTCTGGAGTGTCGCTACTGATGACGTGTCCTTGTCCAGTCAGCAGCATGCAGTACTTGAACTTCTGTTTTCCGAGTTTCTTGGTCAAGTAATCGGCTGCCATCTCGGATGTGGGACAGTAGGATAACTCGAGTCTTCCCTTCTCGATTTCGTCTTTTACGACGAAGTACTGGAGGGCAATGTGCTTCGTTCGATTCGCGAACCCATTTTTGTTCGCTATGCGAATGGCCGATTGGTTGTCGCAGAAGAGGGAAAAGCTGGGTAACTTAGCCAATTTTGCTTCTTCCAGCAGTTCGCGAAGATATAGTCCTTCCTTGGTGGCTGAGCAGAGTGCAAGAATTCTGCTTCGGCTGAGGAGAGAGCGATTAGCTCTTGCTTGTTCGACTGCCATGAGATAGGGCCGATAGGTTCAAGTCGGTAGATGTAGCCAGTTCGAGATCGCCTGTTGTCAGAATCTCCAGCGTGATCGACGTCGACGTAGCCGATTAACTTAGGTGTCGTAGTTCCGGTCTTGTGGTAGGTTAGTCCAATCGTCGGGGTGCTGACAAGGTAGTGAAGTGCACGGTCAAGCTCCATCATGTGTTATGCTTCGGGCTTCTTGAGGTAGGTGGCGAGTTGAATAGCTGAGTAAGATAGATCCGGTCGGCAGGTAACGGCTGCGAAGAGTAGACAGCCTAGCTTTCGTTGATAGTCGCGAATCCCGGCGGGTTTGAGTAGGGTGGAGACTTTGCAATTTCCGTCAGTGTTGCGGTATGGCGTGGTGATGGTAGCTGGAGTAAGTCCGAATCGTTTAGCAATGGTGTCCGTGTATTTTTCGGCGCTGAGGTAGATTGCGTTGTCGCCGTCTTGTATGTTGAGTCCTAGGTACTGTGTCACGGTAGTCGCGATGGTGAGTGTCAGATCCCGCTGCAGCTTCCCTTCAAACCAGGTCGTTATGTCGTCGGTGGAGCCTATGTAGAGAAGGTTGTCTACGTAGACGATGAGCAGGATGTAGTTGGCCCCCTTAGTAAGTCGGTATATCCCTTGGTCGTGTGGTAGTTGGCAGAATCCGATGCGAATTAAACGGGCGTGAAGATGCTGCTGCCACAGTCTCGGGGCTTGTTTGATTCCGTACAGCGACTTTTGCAGCTGACAGACTTGGTTGGGGTCTGCATTAGACCCATGTGGGTGTTCGACGAAGATCTCAGCATCAACCGGGGCGTAGAGGAATGCGTTGGCAACATCGATTTGTCGACGTTTCTTCCGGTTCATGGCGGCTATCGCGAGGAGAATCCGCAGTGAGGTATGTCGGCTAACTGGTGCGAATGTTTCCGTGAAGTCTCGTCCATGTTCTTGGTCGAAGCCGCACACGACCCAGCGTGCCTTGAATTTGTCTATCGTTCCGTCGGCTTTTGTTTTCACGCGGAAAACCTATTTTCTCGTGGGAATGGTCTTGTTGCGTGCCACTCCGATAAGCACGACTTTCCAAGTGTTGCGTTCTTGCAGCGCCTTTAATTCTCTGTCCATGGCTTCGCGCCATTTTTCCCTGTGTTCCCCCCCCAGAGCCTGCTGAATAGTAGCAGGCTCCGTAGGTGGTGCTGCTCCGTGGACAGCGGTGACGAGTCCCAGTATCTGCAGTCCACTCTGTGTGTAGCGGGGGAGATTTGCGTCCTCGGGATAAGCTGCTTCATCTCCCGCTTCTGGATCCGTAAGAAATTGGGCCCGATGTGTTCGGAGACGTTGGTGTCGACCGGTTGGGGTGTAACGTAACCGTTGTCGGCGAAGTCGAAGTAGGCTTCGGCATTGACATTGTCGCGAGGGTTTTCATCATCCATTGGAATGGGCACGGAGCAGTATGGGAGTGGTCCTGCTTCCTCGGATGCGCCGTCCACGTTCTACTCGTCCCAATCAGCTTCGTCTGCTGCCGAAGCAAAAGCTCGGTTGCCACGGAAGCCGCCCGTGAGGTCTCGATTTGCTGCCAGGTTGTCCAGGTACGTTTGAAGTGTGAGTCGCTCGTAGAAAATGACATCACGTGCTGCTACTGTTTCCTTCGAGTGGACGTCGAAAATCTTCCATGCGTTGTAATGCTTTTCGATGCCCAGGTGTAGCCCCCACTGTGCGCGTTGGGAAAATCTTCCGGCTCTTGCAGTGTGCGGTCGGTACTGTACCATGCAACCAAAAACTCGTAACATTTTTGTGTTGCCCGATTTTCCTGTCCACAGCAGGTGCGGTGATGCGTTGTTCAGGAGCGATGATGACGAGAGCAAGTTGTGCAGCATGACAGCGTGGTCCATCGCCTCAGGCCTTTGGTGGTTGGGCAGTCGCATGCCACGCAACAGTTTGCGCATGGTGTTCTGGAGAGTTCTGTTCATCCGTTCTGCCACGCCTTGCTGTTGATGGGCGTAGGGAAGCGAGATGAGTCGCTTGATGCCTCGTTCTGCGAGGTACTGCTTGAACCTTTGTGACTGATATTCTCCTCCCCCGTCTGACTGGAAGCTTTTCAGATTTGCTCCTGATTCTCGTTCTGCCACAGGTAGCCAGGCGACGAAGGCTTCGAAGGCCATGTCGCGACTTGGGAGGTTGAGGTGCCAGACGTATCGGGTGGCGGCATCGATGAAAGTAATCACAGAGTTGTATGCTCCTTGACCTTGTTCGCGAGTATACAGGATGTCTCTGCATACTTTCTCCAGGGGTGTGTAAGTTGGCGAGCTTGGATTGTGGTGAGAGACCAACGGTTGATGAGGTAAGTCGGCTTCGGGGCAAGTAAAGCATGTGTCTCGGACTCGTTGAATTTCTCTGCCGTCGGGTAGAAGGAGTGAGTCTTTGTCGAGTACAGCTGCCTTGATCGTGTTGTTTAACGTGGTGTTGCTTGGATGACCTAATCGTTCGTGCCACAGTGATTCGCTCACACGATGTCCGGGTGAGCGCCTGTACAGGTCGGAGTTGGAGTAAAATCCCGCGGTGAAGTTGGCGCTTCTGTGAACTTCGCGTGGAGTGGGAGTTAACAGCTGCGCAGGAGTCGGTGGAGTGTCGTCGATGAGAACAGGTGCCGTCGAAGAGCCCGCGATTGGTGCCGTAGGTGTTGCTGTTGTTGCCGATGCTGTCTCTGCTGCTGTCGAGGTTGTTTCTTGCCGGATTGTTGCTAATGCCCTTGGTCTTTCTGCTTCAGGTATGGTATGTGAATACCAAAAACCTCCAGGACTGAAGTCGGGGTCGAGATCAGGTGGATGTGTCCAAGAGGCGAAGTTGACGATGGCGTCGCTGTCGGCGGTACCTTGGTCCGGAACGAAGTCAAGAACGAAGACGTTATTCTTCAAGATTGCCTTGCTGATGTAGAGTCCGCCTTTTCCGTGGAATAACTTGAACTCCTGAGTGGTGCTATCTGCTTCGAGATGAATGCCCTTCGCCATCAATTGACTGACGCTGAGTAAGTTGTTGCCAAGTCCTTCTGCAATTAAAACTTTTGACATTTGTAGAATGACGTTAGTTTCTCGAGACTGAAGTTGAACGATTCCTTGTCGTCGTGTGTGCAGGTTCTGGTTGTTGGCGACGGTGATTACAACTTCGCGCTGAAGTTGATGTTCCTGTTGAACGAAACGACCCGAGTAGCACATGTGCTGTCCGCAGCAACTGTCCAAGAACCAAGTGTCTTTCTCGGACGGCTCGCTCTAGGCGATGGCTGCGTACGTTGGGTTGGGCTCCAATGATTCGCGGCGAGGAGTGCTCTCGTCGAGCTGTTCTTCTTGTGAGTAGTAGGGTGGTGATTCGGTGATGCAGGAGTCTGTCGTTCTTGTCATGCAGCTTACAATGTTTCTTATGCATTGCGCAGGTTTTGTCGTTGATGACGTTGAAGACTGTACTTGATTGGTGGGATGCGCCAGCGTAGAAGCTACTTGACTGCTTGAGGGCCGAAGTTGACGTTCCGGCGATGTCGACTGTTAGAATCTAAAGGAAGGAATGAATGAACTAGGAAGCAGGTGGGTACAAGTGGGAAACCTAAAAGTGTTGTACCCTATATGAACTACCCCACTACAGCCTAGATAGACTATAGTATATAAGTTTGACACACCGCCATAGGCAGGTGGGGGAGAACAAGAGGTCACAAGACTAGTCAAGAAAAGCAAAGCAAGCTCAGGGTGGATCACAAAGTCACCACGCAGTCTGAGCACAAGCAAATGGCCACAAGGCCAGTTCACATGCAGAGTTATATATAGGAGAACAAACAATACAGTGAACACAACCTAGCAAGTGTAAGCATGCAGGTATATGTGTAGACAGTACAGTACAAGCAAAGTCAAGAAGTAAGCAAG